AACCGGGCGTCCACTGTATATACATATTCACATATACCGTTTACAGTTAAAGTTATTGATGTCATAGTGGAATATGGCCTAATGTTCGATGATTGCCACGTTAATTTCGTTTAGGCTGTTACAATATCAATGCTTGTGGGATTTTTCTAATGCTATAATATTCATCCCTCTGGCTGTGAGCACTGTTGTACCTGGGGGCACTTCCTGTGCCCTCTCCTCTCTCCCTTCCTTACTCACTCTAGTGAAAGTGGTCCTCTGGGAACATATTTACGTGGACAGTCTCCTCGTTTTTGCAATTTTGCAAGCTCCTGATGTGTTGATTGCAACAAGAAAGGCCTAGAGCTATCATTTTACTCCCCTCGTCGTTGTATTGCATCCCGTATCGATTGGTTTGCGATATTTGCTTAAAAAAAAAAAAGTATTTGAGAAGAACCTGTCTAGCTTGGGCTTGTAGGCCTGCTGCAGTATTGCTGATAAGTGGGATAACGATGAAGTTACTTAGCAAGAGGCTCAGCCATGTTGTATAAGCTATTGTTTTGGTTGAAATTTTTGGATATGCTAATAGTGATGATTCTAAGATCCTGCATCTCTGGGTATCTTCCTCCTTGGTAATGAGTTATACATCCTTGTAATCAGTCAGATGGTTGTGGGAGTTTTGGTGTTTAAAACACAGGCTTTCTTCAAGTTGTCCTATCTGCTGGCATACTGGTGTTCAGAAATGCAGCTTTGGTGGTCTCTAGATGTTTTACCTGCATATATTTTGTAGCAGTCATTGCAAGGGATTGTGTATATCCCTGCAGTGGATTGAATCTGTTGTTGATGTCCCTGTCTGATAATGTCCTTGATTGTAACAAAGGCAATGGTAGCTGCTTGTAATTCAGTGTTGGAGAGAAAATAAGAGACATATTTGACAGTGGAGTTGGTAGGGGGACTATATATATTCACTTGGTGCTATCTTATCTAGGTGGGTTGAAGATGTTATATGTAGGGCATTTGCATCTCTGATGAAATGGAGATTGATATTGAAGCTAACAAAAATACTTGTTCAATGAAAGGGCAATTTTTTTTTCTGGGAACTCATTTGCTGCAGATAAAGAATCCCATTATACTGCATTTATGTTTCATTTTTCATTCTCTATTATTGTTACTTTCATGGCTAAACAGTCTCATTGGTTACCCTTAGCTTCACCATTACCAGCCACCTGCTCCTCTCTGTTAGTCTGGTAAATCTTGGGTTTACTGTATTTTTGTGGCAATGATCATTAACATAGGTGTGGATTGGCTGTGTTACCGCTATGTCTATTTTTTTTTTTTTCATAATTTTCTCTTCATTTGTAGTCATGGAAATATCTTAATTGCACTCTACGATATTTTCCTGTAATAATTTAATGGTGCAGACTCTTTCTCTACAAAGTATAGTGATATTAGGATTGACTTCAGTTTGTCTTTCTAACCATCCTTCCCTATTTCTCTTTCCCATATTTGTTTCATATTTTCTAGATCAGGAATGATTTAATGACACTGACTGCAGTTCCACTCTGAAATACTACTCTGATTCCATTTTAAAGTCTCCATCACTTTCTTATTTAAGAAAGAGTAGGGAAGGAATGGTGGTGTGCATAAAAGATGTTATACAGTAGGGCCCCACTTATACGACACGTTAGGTTCCAGGCTACCACCGTAAAACGAAAATTGCCATAAAGTGGAACACCCTTTTTTTTCACTTATAAATGCATATAAATACTAGATAACAAGTTTATACTAACATATATTAAGTTAAGATTAGAACTAGACATTAAAAAAATAAAAAAATAAAATACACATATTGTACACTCATTACTTGCCTTAAAATATTTGTAGTGTTAATCTAGGGCGAGATGAGTAGTATCTATTGTAAGAGATCAAGTGTGGTATGCATGGTAGCCAGCCAGGCTACCATACCAGGTCATCCCACCCACACACAATATTCTATGACATTTAAGCATCCCAGAGCCACGAAATGCATATACAGTTCACTCATTACTTACCTTAAAATATTTGTAGGGTCAGAGGTGAGTATATGAGATAAAACAAATAAATGAAAGAGAGAGAGAATGAGTACATGTGAGAGGACAGGCACAGAGTTATGTAACCAAACCAGGCATGCACGAGTTTTGTAAGCAAACCAGGTGAACATGTCTGGTTTGTGTACAAGTTACATTGTGTACAAGTTGTCTCTACATTGATATGGTAGAATAAATAAAGAGGAACACTCCCATTCTCATGTAACACCATTTTTAGAAGAAATGACGCTCTGAGCGAAGGCATATGGAAGGAATAATTTTCTACAGTTACCCCCCAGTAACACGTTTTCTCTGATGTTGGACTAGGGAAAAAGTTATTCTTGCTGTCACTCGTACAAGTCGTATGGCTACCACATCTCATATTCATGTTAATTTATTCTACTGTAGTGTGTATTTATCATCTTTATATGTTATGTATCATGTTTATTATATAATTTTGAAAAAATATCATAGATGGATTAATGAAAATATGTATATTAGTGTAATATATGACATTTAATGAAGCTCAGTGATTATTATTGAGTATTATTATTATCATTACTAATATGGTGTCTTGAGACATAAGACACTTATTGATTTTAGTGTGTACCTGCATGCCAGCACAGTGTGTAAGTTTATTTAGGTACCAACACTCTTATATGGGTGTGAAACTTGGGTTGTAAATGCTGCAGCAAGGAGGTGGTTGTAGGCAGTGGAGATGTCCTGTCTAAGGGCAATGTGTGGTGTAAATATTATGCAGAGAATTCGAAGTGTGGAAATTAGGAGAAGGTGTGAAGTTAATAAAAGTATTAGTCAGAGGGCTGAAGAGGAGTTGTTGAGGTGGTTTGGTCATTTAGAAAGAATGGATCAGAGTCGATTGACATAGAGAGCGAATAAATCTGTATAGGAAGGAAGGCAGGGTAGGAGTCATCCTCGAAAAGGTTGGAGGGAGGGGGTAAAGGAAGTTTTGTGGGCGAGGGGCTTGGACTTCCAGGAAGTGTGCATGAGGGTGTTAGATAGGAGTGAATGGAGACCAATTGTTTTTTGGGACCTGATGAGCTGTTGGAGTGTGAGCAGGGTAATATTTAGTGAAGGGATTCAGGGAAACCGGTTATTTTTTTATAGCCGGACTTGAGTTCTGGAAATGGGAAGTACAATGCCTGCACTTTAACCCTTTCAGGGTCCATGCCGTAGATCTACGGCTTTATGTTCAGGGTCCAAAGCGTAGATCTACGCCATGAGCTCAGCTCACTCTGATAAGCTGTGGGTGGTAAATTTGAGCCTAGATATGAGAGAATACATCTATGTGGTATGTGTGCACCACATAAAACAAATCCTGCAGCACACAGTGTAATGAGAGAAAAAACTGAGACTGGGATTTTCTATTAAAACAGCGACTTTGCAGTATTTTTTCGTATGTTTTTTATAGTTGTATTTGCGATTTCTTGGTCTCATTTGATAGAAATGGAAGATATATTACAGAAATAGAGATGATTTTGATTGGTTTTAGCACTAGAAATGGCTTGAAACTGAGCTCAAAGTAGCGGAAATGTTAAATTTTTGTCGATGTTCAAGAGTAAACAAACGACCTCACACGTCTAATACACGCCAGCTGGTGGGTCTAATATACATTCACAAATGTGTTGACGATATTTATACAATTATTACCATATTGCATAACAGTAAATCTTCTATTTTTTGGTTTGAATAAAAATTCATTATGTGAATAAAAAATTAAAATGGAATTAATTTGTAAAGCCTCAAAACGTAACTAATGAACAGAGGAAATGTTAGTTTAGTGCCAGGAATGTCTGCATTGTTTATTCTGGACCCTGTTTTGAAATTGGAATATTTTGAACTTTGTGTTAAATTGGCCAAATTACCAATTTCCGATCACTTTATTTTGTAGTTGAAGCAGTTGACTGGGCGATTTATTGTGCTCAATTGATGGAATAGAAGTAATACTGGTGAAATAGCTAAGAATTTGGTCGACTGGAATAATGTAACTGGCCTAAAATGGGAGTCAAAGTCGGCAAAATTGCCAATTCGTAAATATCGCTGACACATCAAAATTTGCGAGAGCATAATTTCGTCAATTTTCCATCAAATTTCTCACTTTTTGTTTTATTACCTTCAGAAAAAGATTCTCTACCATTTCATAAGAAAAAACAACAAATTTTTTTTTTTTAAATTCTTGGACCCTGGTGCGCACTTTGAAATTTGGTCTCTGGACCCTGAAAGGGTTAAAGGAGGGGTTTGGGATAATGGCATTTTGGAGGGATGTGTATTAGGACAGTATATATATAATTGAGGACCTGATATTATATTCTGTAGGAAGTTTATTATATTATTTCGGGTCACTTTTTATATTGTATCTTTATATATGTTTCTAAACTGTTGTGTCTGGGCACCTCTGCAAAAACAATGATTATGTATGAGTGAGGTGAAAGTGTTGAATGATGATGAAAGTATTTTCGTTTTGGGGATTTTCTTTCTTTTTGGGTCACCCTGCCTAGGTGGGAGTCAGCCGACTTGTTGAAAAAAAAATATATATAATATATGAAATAACTTTTAAAAACGCTTGAAATTTTGGAGTTTCCAGACATAACGTAGAGACGTGGTGCTTATGGAGCTCACGGAGAATGTAAAACTGGGTGAGGCACAGTGACCGTATTAGAAAGCTAGGTGGGGGGAGCTGTATAGCGAGTTTCGGTCATAATTTGAAATATCCGTATTAGCGGAATGCCGTAAAATGGGGCCCTACTGTGTATAATACTGAATATATTACATGTTTTATTTAACGGTTCATTCAGTATTGCTAATTAATGTGTACTTCGACCCACAGCTGCATCTTCATGACCATTACTGTACAATACATAATATATGCCGTTGACCCTTTTTAAGCAAAATGTCATTTTTTAGATGATAATTTTTCATATGTTTATTTCCATTTTATAGGTACAACACAGAGCAACTCAACATGTGCTCCCTTGAAGCAGAAGCTACATACACAAGATCACCCAGTGAGGAAGGGTCCTTTGTATTACAATTGTCAATTGAGGGCTCCAGATGATGAACCACTGTGCACAATTGATCCCAATAAAGCTCGATGGTATGTGAAAGAGGGTCTTGGGGACTTGATCAATGAAGAACCACTTGTTGTGCGCTTGAAATTTGAACCTGCTGGCCGTCCACAAGCTGAGAAGGAGGATGGCTGGTTTTATCTTCAAAAACGTTTAAATATTTGTGTTGTCTGTGGTAAAGATGAATCATACATCAGGAAAAATGTGGTACCTCATGAGTATCGCAAACATTTTCCAGCTATACTGAAACATCATCAAAATCATGATGTGCTGTTACTGTGCTTTGCCTGCCATAGACAAAGTAACATGCAGGACAATGTTTTTCGTTCAGAGCTGGCCAGAGAATTTAATGCTCCTGTTGGCGTAGAACAAAATTTCAAAGTGGCTGTTGATAATTCTCGCAAATTTGTAAGAAATGCAGCCCGAGCATTGTTGAAAAATCGTGATAACATTCCTACAAAAAAAGTCTCAGAGATGGAAAAACTTGTTAAAGATTTCTACAAGGTTGATGATATTTTATCAGAGCATCTTCAAGATGCAGCCAACATGGATATAAATTTCTTAAATGAGGGTTTTCAAGTTCATGGACAAAAAATTTATGAACTATATGAGAAAATTGGCCTTGTAAAACTAGAGCAAAGATGGCGACAACACTTTCTGGACAGTATGAAGCCCCAATACATGCCTGAATGTTGGTCAGTTAAACATAATGTCTACAAGTTGGGGCTTAAAATGGGTCGTTTACCACTTGAGCATCCCAATCGACTGATCTATCAAATGGCCCTTGTAGGGACAGAGGGAACCATTGACATTCCATACACTCCCCGGTCATTTCGAGAAGCAACACAGTTGGACACATCTTCATCAGCCAGTAGAGATGCTCCCCCAGAACACTTAGTATCTACTCAACTGACTGCTGTTAATGGAGACATAACATTTGGGAATGCATTGGCAGAAGTTAATTATGCCACATCAAGAAATAAAAGTGGGACAGAGAAAACAGCAGTAAAGAGCAGTCAGAAAGAGTCTTCTAGAATAAACATCAGTAAGAGTAAAGATAAAGCTTTCATGGGCAACATGCTTGTTCATGGCAGTTCAAGCCCTGAAAAATCAAATATACCTCAAAAAGAAAGTGGAAAGCATTATCAAGTGCCTTACATTAGCACGAAGCCAGAAGTAATGGAAGACTCATCCCAAAAGGTATATGATGGAGACACATGCAGTGACAAAGTGGAAGCAGATACTGCTGAAGACTCTGATGTTGATGTTGTTATTGAAGATATTTCTTAGGACAATAGTGAGACATAGCTAGCAACAAATAAATTTGTTACTTTTCAATTTCCTATCATTACATTCTTTAATAACTTCAGTGTATAGGTACATAAATGTTTCATTTGAGTTTGTTTTACTAAATAAATACAGCCTTTCCTCAATGAAGGAGTTCCATTCCTAAGACCACGTCGGTAAACGAATTCATTGCTAAGTGAGGAGCGTACCATTATGGTAGTGGGTTTGTGTGAACTATCTTTGACATTCCCACAAGCCCTTCTAGGGCGGGGAAGATGCCAGAGCTAGAGCTTGCTACCACCTGCAGCTCACAAGACTGCCATTCCCACGAGCTCCCCTGGGGCGGGGATGATGGCAGACCAGAGGCCTAGCTTCTCCTTATGAGCCCCGTGAGGGCAGGGAATGAGGCTAGGCAAGGGGGCAGTTGGTCCCAGAAGATGAGGAGGTACTTGTACTTCCTCCCATGGCAGACATAGGTCTCAGACACTCCCAAGACAGGGAGCCAAGGCCTGGTCACCATCTGGAAAAGACCTGGACCGGAAGAGTACCAGCGAATATATCTTTGATATGTTTAATGTCACCTTTGCACCATTTATAACATTTCTGGTATATTTTTAAATGTTTATTCATTAGTGTACTGTATATTGTAATAAACAGAATAGAGGAAATCAGCTCTGATATACATTATTTAGGTATGCATACTGGTCAGAGCGCCCATTGTAAGTCTGAGGCGTTGGTAAACGAGTACGTCGCTAAGTGAGGAGAGACTGTATTTTTAAATATTTATACAGTAGTGTACTGTATATTGTAATAAACAGAATAAAGGAAATCATCTCTTGATATACATTATTTAGGCATGCATACTGGTCAGAGAGCCCGTCGTAAGTCCGAGGCATCAATAAACCAGTACGTCGTTTAATGAGGAGAGGCTGTAATATATTTACTTCATACATTCTTGGCTCAGGCTGTTAGGACGAATATAAAGGATCCATTATGATTCTTATATCCTGCAAGAGCATGTCTTGTTCCTAAATTACTTTACTGTTAATTCAAAGTACAGGTCTTCCTCAACATTCGCGAGGGTTAGGGGATCAAGAGCCTCGCGAATGTTGAAAAACCGTGAATGTTTGGTGCCCCAATATATTGTAGGGAAATATATTACAATACTGCTTCCTTAACTTGTTGAACCATGAATAATCATAAAATACATGAAAACGTCATAAATTGTACTAAATATATACATGTTATGCTTTAATAATGTATGTTATTTAATAACATGTATGTTATTAAATACCACAGACTCCACCACTGCCTCCACCACTGCGAGTCCCTACTACCCTCCCTCTGACCCCCGAAACTGGCAGCCAGCCCTCCCACCACTCAGTGTGGTGAGTGTTTTGTTTGTTCATTATTTGCTATTAAACTACAGTATAAATAATGTAAACCCATTCATGACTGCATATTGGAATGGCTATTAGGAAAGGTATTAGACGGTGACATCATGTGTTTACTCTTGAACACAGCAAAGAATCGAACATTTCTGCTATTGCTAATAATAACAATAGTAATAATAATAATAATAATAATAATAATAAATACGATACAATTGAAGAAGGAAATTGTACAAAAATACAAGGGAATGGTTGACACATCGTCAGTGTGACTTTGTTTATGCTGGAGTGAACATTAGTCTCCCTGCTCTTCCAAACATTTCACAATAATTCAGCGGTTGAGGCAGTGGTAAGTAAGTAAGTAAGTAAGTTTATTCAGGTATACACAAATACAGTTACATAGAATTATCATACATAGCAGCATATGTGTAGAGAACCTAGGATAACCCAAAAAAGTCAGACAGAGTGACTTATTTCCATTGGTATTTAGTAACATTATGTTATAATAATAGTACATGTTATTATTAATAACATGTATTATTATTAACATGTATGTATTTAATAACATATATGTTATAAATAATAATAGTACATATTATTAATAACATGTATTATTATTAACATATATGTTATTAAATACCATTGCCTCAATCACTGCCTCTACCACTCCAGTCACACTCAATCTACAAGCACCAAACACAATGAATTATTGTGAAATGTTTGGAAGAGCAGGGAGACTAATGTTCACTCCAGCATAAACAAAGTCACACTGACGATGTGTCAACCACTCCCTCCTATTTTTGTACAATTTCCTTCTTCAATTATATCATATTTATTATTATTATTATTATTATTATTATTATTATTATTATTATTGTTATCATTAGCTGTAGCAGAAATGTTTAATTCTTTGCAGTGTTCAAGAGTAAACACATGATGTCACCGTCTAATACCTGTCCGAATAGCCATTCCAATATGCAGTCATGAATGGGTTTACATTATACTGTAGTTTAATAGCAAATAATGAACAAACAAAACACTCACCACACTGAGTGGTGGGAGGGCTGGCTGCCAGTTGCGGGGGTCGGAGGGAGGGTAGTAGGGACTCGCAGGTGGTGGGAAACTTAAATATGATTTGGCGGCTGGGAATTTGGTGGCTGGGAATTTGGCGGTTGGGAATTCGCGAATGTGTGAAGCCCGTGAAAGTTGAAAACGTGAATGTTGAGGGAGACCTGTATACTGTTATCCAAAATATTAAACATTATATGGATTTGCTAATTTTGTAAATAAATAAAGGAATAACCTGCACAAAACTCATCCTATCAATATTTTAATAGATTTTAACCCTTGTGGTTTAGCACTACTTTCTGATTATAATAATAATAATTTAATAGATTTTAGATTTTGCTGAAGCTGCTAGTTTATTGTGCACCCCATATCCATCCTGTGGACAGTAATACAAGAGCATATTTTTACACAAAAGTCCTAGGAGCTAGGCTCCAAAAGGGTTTACAGGAGTACATCTAGATTTAAATCTACAGTTCTCACATCCATTGCAAGAAATTTGCTTAATATGCTGGGTATCTTGCTTATATTAACCCCTTGACTGTCGTAACCCCGAATCCTGAGGTGTCTCCTGATGTCGCAAAATTTAAAAAAAAAAAAAAAAATATTTTTTCTTATGAAATGATAGAGAATTTATTCCCGATTGTAATGACACCAAAAAAACGAAATTTGATGGAAAACTGGCGGAATTATGCTCTCGCGAAGTTAGCGACCTCGGCGATATTTACAAATCGGCGATTTCGCCCACTTTGAGCCCTATTTTCGGCTAATTCCGTTGTTCCAGTCGACAAAACTCAGCTATTTCTTTAGAACTCCATTTTTTCTATCGATTGAGTACAAGAAACTGCCCATTTACTGATTTCAACTACCCAATAATGTGGTCAGAAATTTGCAATTTGGCCAATTTCACGAAAATTAAAAAATATGACAATTTCAAAATAAGGTCCAGAATGAACAATGCAGACATTACTGGCTCTAAAATAACATTTTCTTTGTTCATCAGTCATGTCTCCAGGCCCCTCTGATATTAGTCTTGCTTTCTAATTTGAATTTTTATTTGAACAAAAAATAGAAGACTTACTATTATGCAGACTACTGCAATACTGTAATAATTGTATAAATAACATCAACCCATTCATGACTGCATATTAGAATGCCTAGTTGGACATTTATTGGACAATGACATCATTTGTTTACTTTTGAACATTGGCAAAAATCAAACATTTCCCCTTCTTTGAGCTCCATTTCCAGGTTCTTTTTATAGTAAAATCAATCAGAATTACCTTTATTTCTATAATATGCTTTCCATTCTATCAAATGAGACCAAGGAAACGAGAATACAACCATAAATACTATACGAAAATAGACCACAAAGTCGGCATTTTAATTAAAAAAAAACGGTCGGAGTTTTTTTTTTCTCATTATGCACTGCGTGCTGCAGGATTTTTTTTATATAGTGCACAATGACCACACAGACCCATTCTCTCACATGTGGGCCTACCAGCTTTCTCCTGCTTGATTTGAAGTCGTTAGAATTTATGAGTGTATATATACGTCAAACACGGTACCTCGTAAGACGTATATATATGGCTGCGACAGTCAAAGGGTTAATAAGATAATCTTGACATATCACATAGGTTATTATACTTTCTATCTCTGTTTTCCTTAGTAAGTGAACAATTAAGTACATAGTGTTCAAGATAATGACCATAAGGCTAAGTACATACTTTGCATTTGGTTTGATCATCATTTATGTGTCTGCCAAACTGCTAGACGTACTTATAACCAAGCCTAAGCTTGGCTGCTACAACATCAGTCAGTCTGTTCACATTGCAAGTTACTTATCTACAGTCATGTCACCATAGTTGATTATAGATCTACTCAGGTTTCTAATTGCATTCCTATAACATTCTTTTTTTTTTTTTTTCAACAAGTCAGCCGTCTCCCACCGAGGCAGGGTGACCCAAAAAGAAAAAAATCCCCAAAAAGAAAATACTTTCATCATCATTCAACACTATCACCTCACTCAAACATAATCACTGTTTTTGCAGAGGTGCCCAGAATACAACAGCTTAGAAGCATATACATATAATATTCACTTTCATTATTTATTTCTCTCCTAATATTATTCCTAATGCTAGACACAAACACTAAAGTTATACGTATTCTGCATTTTCCTTCGAGGTACTTTTTTTTTTTTTTTCTTTTTGGCTAATGTATCAACTTCATCACGAGTATTGGCAACAAAGTCTCGTTACAACAGGTCCAAGCAGTGGAACCTCAAAGCCTAGATACCTGTATCTACTTACATATTCTAGAAGAGACCCATCATGCAACTGGATCTGACGAACTGTGGGTCTCTGTCGAGGAGGACGCCTGTTGAATATCTTTGTTTTATCAGTAGAGATTATCAACCCCAGGTCCTGACACGAGGCTAGTACATGATTAAGAATGTTTTGGGTGCTGGAGAATCCGGTAGTGTGAATCATTATATCATCAGGAAAACATTTATTTATTTATTTATTTATTTCCAATTTGAGCACACATACAGAGGTACAAAAAAAATACAGATAAGAGCAGCATGCCAAAGCCACT